CGGTTTTCTGCCTTGTTGCTTTCCGTTGGAGCATTTGAATTATTTGTGGTCATATTCGTCAACGAATTTAATCGAAAGGCTACATTCTCAGGTTCATTTCCTTCCACATTCTGTTTGCTTATTGTTTTTGTGATGAATTAAGCATGACGGGGGCCTAGGATAAGCCATTAGAATTGGTTTGAATCTTAAAAATTGGTTAAGTTCAAGTGTTAATAGAAACAAATTGATGTGTTCCGATTGATGGCGAGTCTGGATGATTTCTCTTAGCGTGCGATTCTGTTTTGCTCGTACTGCTCGTATGCTACTCATATTGTTCTGCTCTGTTTAGTCGATTGCTGTGTTCCGTTGTATTGCGCGTAAGTTGGTTTGGCTGATAGAAATAGGAATATAATTCGTTCTTCGCTGTTTCATCGGAATTCTTTGTTCTCACTATTGATTTTGGTTCTGAAAATTGTTGATATCTTCATGATCTAATCATGCATTTTTTTAGTGTTTTAACATCACTCAATGCTCATGAGTTCTTGTAGTGTCGTCTTGCTTATATATATGTTGTTGTCTGTTGTGTGTCTTTATTCCAACAAGAATGTGAAATCGACGCATACTTCGTCATTGAGTGTGTTAATCTGCAGTACTTAACTTCTTTTGTCGGTTTGATTATGTCGTAGCAGATTTGAATTCGTTCCCTTGCATGATTTAACTCGTCAGCTACTCTGTTTGGATGATTTCAATTGGTAATTGGTCAGCCACGTCCACTTTGAATGCAACTTCCCCTGCATATGCTAAAACAATGGCTATGATTGAGTAACATAAACAAAATAGTCATTTTCTGTTATTAATTAACGTGAAAAGAGTATAAGATGCTAAGGAGGCAACTAAAGAATAGCATATTTCTAATTACTTTAACTTTATAACATTTTCTTTATTCTGATAGAGGATGCCGGTCGCTCCAAATTATTCAAATGAATTGATTTGTTTCACTTTTGGAAAATCATATGCAATCATACCTTAGACATAAACCTTTAGTTGTGCCCTTAATATTTTTATGCTTCTTAGTTTTCTTCTCCTCGATCGGTCACTTTCCTGGAATTCTAGATCAATGTTTTGGCTTTGACCAAGTAAAGTTTTAATTGATGATATTTGTTAAAAGAAGGAGATAAGGAGAAAGCCTTAGGTCACTTTTCGTTTCTAGTAGTATCTTCCAGTCTAATTTCTATCATCGTTAATGGACGTTTGCACTAATGTTTCCTTGCATCCGCTACCTTTGTCTTGCTCTTCCGTGCTAGTAGTATGAGTTTGGAATTAGAAGTATGCACGAGGGAGTCAATCTAATATGATAAGTTGATATGGTCGAGTACAGTAGTAAAAAGTGACTCCTCTTCTAAGCCTTTCTTGAAGCATCTTTATTGAAATAGTTTGGGGTTAGTTTCAGTTGGTTAACTTTCTGTTGCCTTAGAATTTCATTTTGGGCTCTTCTCGCCGCAAGTTTTTGGTTAGAGGGACATGTGCTCTTATCATACTTCAATTAACTGTTTTGTGGATTCGCTTTACTTCCTCTTCTTACATGTTCTGGATGTTTTGTCTGAACAATATATGTTTGAATGATTTAGGATATATGTTTGAAAGACTTGGCCCATTAGTGTTATTTTGCTTACATAGGAATTGGGCTTGGTCAAATGCATGAAATGAGAAGTTAAAAGAAAAGTGAGCATGAAATGAGTTTTATTTAATTTCATTTCTACCTTTTAATCGCTAGGAGCATGCTTAGGCCGACCACATTTGAGTAGGCAAGCTTAAGGACTTCTGTTAATTATGAGGCGAGAGGTTGTTCCCTTAGTTAAATTTACCCGGGGAATGCCCCGAAGGACTTGTATATATTTTATTCCGGGAATTGCCCCGTAATACTTGTATTTGGAGGCCAAAAGTAGAGCTTGCAGTAGTTTATTTTTATTTTTATTTTTTTTCTTTATTAGGTGGGAAAGACCCCGAGCCTCTTGTGTGTTTATTTTATTTCTGTGTGTTTTACTTCAATTTAAATGTTCTGAAAGCCAACTAGATCGAGTACGCAACCGTGACCTTCACGGGACTTGGGAAGCGCCTAACACCTTCTCCCCGAGTCAAATGAACCCCCTTACCCAAATCTCTGGTGTAGACTTAGTTTTAGAGTTCAAAGTGTTTTGAAAGGAAAATTATTATTTTTAGAAAAAACGGTGACCTGACACACCGAAATCAAATGTCAGGTGGCAACTCTGAGTTAGTCCTTTTGAACATACAATTTTGTCACTTTTCAAAAATTGAAAAACCCTTTCGAGCTTTACAAAAGCTTTTTTATTTATTTAAGAGGGTTAAGTGAGGTTAGTTTTAAAAAGGGGGTGTGACATCTCTGGCGACTCTGCTGGGGACTTGCAGGTTCAAGCTGATACTACGATCTTGTTGGCATTTTAGAATATTTGGTTGAGGCTTTTATGCTTTTTCATTAGTTTTACTTGATTTTTATTATGTTTTTATATTTTGTTATTATTTGCTAGTTGTTTACGTGTTTACAGTTTTTACTTTCTGTGTTTACTGCTTTATAACTGTCATCATATGCATTACCTGGTCAATTCTTTCTGCAACAAGTCTCGGAGTACGCGTTGCGTACACGAACTCTTCGTTGAGTCACCCTTATTTTAGGAGGGAGGGGGAGCGTCGGACGTATGGAGTGGGTGGAAAGCTTGAGCAGCCACCATCGACCATACGCTCCCCCGAATTGTCTTGTTAGTGAACCCCAAACTTAGGTCAGCCTTTAGGTTATTCTTATTTTGCATCATGTCATTTAAACCTAGCAGGGCTCGGTCCCAGACACCGTGTCCCGTCGTAGGAGGCTTATCCAAATTATGTCAAAATGGGCACGTGGCCCAAAATGACATTCAATCATCCTATATACTACATGTTGCATTCTTTGAGGATAAAGGGGTCATTTGGCGGACCAATAATATTTGAGGGTAAAGTGTAAAATGAAGCAAGTGGGGCCTACTCGTATTTTTCTTTCATAGTTTGCCAAAAAAATCAAAAAAAAATGAAAATGAAAAAATTCAAAAAGATTTTGCACTTTCCCACCATTTTCCAAAAAATCAAAAAAAAAAAGAAAAAGAAATTCCAAAAAGATTTTACATTTTCCATCATTTTTCAAAAAGATCAAAAATAGTTTTTCCAAACTAGTTGCATTTCATTTTTAAAGCTTTCTTCCATGACCGATCCTCTCGAACTACGCATACTTGATTCTCGTCCTTCAGGGCGGGATACGTAGGCAACCCACATAGGCTCCGGTCTTCCTAGTAAGTCTTAGGTTCTTGGCTTTGCAGGGTCTTAGCCAAATTTTGCATGTTTAGCCACTTTTGGCCACATCGGCCATTCTCGGAAATGAGGTCATTTTCGCAAAAGTGGTTCAATTACCCATGTCTTAGAATCTTGAGTCCCCAACTAGGTGTCATATTACTTTAAGGTCCGTCCTTTTCGAGTTTGCATCTTTAGCCACTTCTAGCTATATCGGTCGTTTTTGCAAAATGGATCATTTCTACAAATTCATTTTAGGCCATGATTATTGGGAGTTTGAATCCATATAAGCTTTAGTGAGGTATTTCCATGTCTTTGAGGTCACTTTGTCAAGTTTGCACTAATAACCACTTAGGCCATTTTGTAAAATATTGCAAAATCGTGTCGTGCATTTGTCTACTAGGAAATGTTGTGGTGTCACGTAGTGTCCCGAGTCGCTAACCATGTTCTCTTCATTCAGGTATGGACCCGCTGATTCGATCCAAAGTGTTGATGGTAGTAAAGATTCCTAGGAAGTTGATCAAGTGGTAGAAAATGTTTTCGTTGCTAGAGCAGCATGAGTTAATGCAGAAATTGGGCACCCTCACTTCCCTTCTTGATATTACACCTCGCCCAGACTTAGTGGAGGCGATGCTGACTTATTGGGATCCGTAAAATTTGGCTTTCAGATTTGGAGAGTGTGAAATGACCCCTACCTTGGCAGAAATGTCTGGTCTCACTCATTTAAGCTATATAGGCAAGGACATGATACTTCCCCGAGACCATTCTAGGACAAGATTCCTCAGCGATCTGGGCCTGAAAGATAACAAGCATTTAAAATGCCTCGAGCAGTCCTGGATATCCTTGGATTATTTTTTTGCTAGATTTGGACCACAAGATAGTTTTGACGTCTTTTGGGATGAGTTCTGCACAACCAAGGCAAAGTGGCAAAGGCGTCGCCTCGAAGATTTCAGCCTTGCTTTGTTGGGATTATTGGTTTTTCCATTAGATGAGAGGCACATTAGCACTTGTCTTCAATCAGTGGTAATGGCACTATTTCATGAGAAGCAACGCAAAACCATTACCGTTGTGTCGATGATCTTAGCAGAGTTATATCGAGTCCTGAGTGAGGTTAGGGGAGGTGTCAGGTATATTGAGGGAAGTAACCTTTTGCTCCAATTGTGGATGATGGAGCATTTGCACACCGCTTCCTTACTTTGTCCCATCGACCGTGCCTTGAGGTATCGGGTGGTATGCATTGAGCATAGGATGAAATCTCCTAAGTTTACATACCCAATAGGCGTCACAGCTTGGATTGAGTTCCTTGGTTCGAGGACAAATGGTAATGTTTTGTGGGCTTACCTTTGGCTACCTTTAGATGATATCTTGGTAGGATGCCTCATGCATCCTTTCCTGATGTTGATAGGACTCAAGTGTGTCAGGCTGTACACTCCCGTTAGGGTAATGCGATAGTTGGGCAGAAGATAAGAGGAGCCTCCAACTTTGAATCATCGAAGGCACATCATGAATTTTAGCAAAAAGGCGACTGATGAAATCAAGTACGTGCAATACTGGAACAATGCAAAAAGGATGAAGAAAAATACATTAGTAGAGGACGTTGGCAGGCCTGAGTGTACTCAAGAGTACCTAATTTGGTTATAGTCCGTCCCAACAGGGGTCAGCACCCCATTGCCAGCACAACATAGGGGTCGGTAGTTGAGACAGATGATTTTGAGGAGGCATCGGACCAAGATCCTTGCGATAAGCTTGAGTTGATAAAGTCTCAGTCAACGGGATTGGCAGCAAATGTGGAGCAGCATGGCCAGTATTTGTTTAGGGTCGACCTTCAAGATGCGGGGGCACACGCCAGGGCCTTTATTCCCAGCATCGGTGTTTCTTTACGAGACATGTTACAGAGTTTGAGCATGACGGACAGCCCAGGACCATCCCATTCAGGAGCAGCTTGAGGAGTCATTCTATTTAGGTGTTTTGAGATTGTCTTATGTTGTCTTTTACTTTCTTGTCTTGTCTAGGAGTACCGAGTCCGTTAGGTAGTGTCAAAGTCTGTCGTAGTGTAGTTGAGTCTGTCAGGTCTTTCATTATCGTACTTCCCATTGTATTTTAATATCAAATAGTTTCTAAATGAAAAATCCCAAAAAGATTTTATTTTTAGTTTAGTTTCCATCACTTTTCCAGAACTACGCCTGGTCTGATTCATGAGGGACATGATACGTAGGCAATCTACATCGGGTTCGATCAAATCATTTTTGGTTCAAAAAAAAAAAGTGATAAGAGGTGTTGGAAAAGAAAGAGAAGGAAGGATTGAAATCAGGAAATTGGGATGAAGCCATATGACCTTACGACCCTCAAAGTCATTTTAGAACCGCTAATTGTTGCTAGGTGCATTGCATGTAACGTGATATTATCATATGATAAATGCCCTAACGCTAACATGGTGGTTTTGTGTTGTTTCGCTCTGTTATTTTTATTTAACTATAGGAAGGTGGTTAGTTTGTTGGAATCCTGGCAAGTCATCCATACAACACCCGGTCAAAGCGTCAAACAGTCATGGCTAGCAAAGAACAAACACTGGAGTTGTAAACCCACCAAGGGAGATTGTTGAGTCGGAATCGGAACTGCAAGAGGAAGTCCGGAGGTTGAAGCATTAGATGGCAGAAATGTATAAAGCCTGGATTAAGGGATACGCTCCACCCTCGTTCCCTACCAACTACACAGAAAACCTTGCTTCCATTCCACCACTCACTCAATCCCAGATGCCCAATACCATTGATCTCTCCCCACAACACGCACCTGGCTTTACCCCTTACCACAACTACCCCGACACTTCGGCCCAAACTTTTCATGCTCCACCAGCTAAAACAACCTCGTACCCTGCTTCGACATATGCCCCTATTTTTCCCTCCACAAACTACCCTCTCCCGATCCTCTAGTGAGCCCACATTCCCCGCTTCAAATACCCACTACTATGCACCGGAGCCCACCTTCAAAGTCCCAGATCCTTACTCTTACACTCCCCACTTTGAGCCTCATGTTGAAACTAACAAACCACCCAAGAACGCAGAGCAAGAGGAGATGTTTAGGAAGGTAAAGATTTTGGAGCAATCATTGAGAAATATGCAAGGGTTGGGAAACCAGGTGAGTGTGGCCTATAAGGATTTGTGTTTGTTCCCCGACGTTCAATTGCCTGCCGGGTTCAAGATGCCCAAGTTTGACTTATATGACGGACATAGGGATCATGTGGCTCATCTGAGGGGTTATTACAGTAAAATGAGAGGCGTTTGGGGAAAAGATGAATTACTGATGGCATACTTTAGTCAGAGTCTGAGTGGGGAAGCTTTAGAATGGTACACCCGCCAAGACGCCAGCAGGTGGTACACCTGGGACGATATGGCTCAGGCCTTCGCCCGGCACTTTCAATACAATATAGACATTGTTCCAGACCGCCTATCTCTGACCAAAGTGGAAAAGAAACCCAGTGAAAGCTTTAGAGAATATGGGTTCCGATGGAGGGAGCAAGCTGCACGAGTCAATCCTACGATGGAAGAAGACGAGATGGTTGAATACTTTCTTCAAGCCCCGGAGCCCACTTACTAGGGTCACTTGATCTCATCCATTGGTAAATCTTTCAATGATGTGGTAAAGATGGGAGAGATAGTGGTAGAGGGGCTCAAGTCGAGCAAGATCATGAGCTATTCTGCTATAAAAGCAACCTCCTAGGCAATCCAGAGTGGTACCGGAAGTTTGCTAGGCAAGAAGAAGAAGGACGATGTCGCCATGGTTGTCTCTGGACCATGTCATGGCCAGAGGGGTTCACCTCATCAGTACACTCATCCTCGACCCCAACCTCAAACCTACGCCCAAGCTCCATATAATCCGCCCCAACATTACTTTTTCCCGCAAAACCCCTAATACTCAGCTAGGCCATCCCAATACCTTGTTCATCATGCACAGTCATATGCTCAACACCCTCCTTACCCACAATGGCGTGCCCCAACCCCACAGAATACCTACCCAGCTCCACAAAATACCTATCCACCTCCACAACCCTACCAAAACCCCAATGGTTCAAATTTTCGATCAAGGCCGGAGTATAGAAGAGAGAGGCAGCAGCGGAAACAAACCTTTACCCCGCTTGGAGAGTCCTATGCTAGTCTATTCAAAGGTTAAGGCAGTTAGATGTCTTGAGGTCGATTGAGTCAAAGATACCAAATCCCCTTCTAAAGAACCTCGATTATTCCCTAAGATGCGCTTATTGTTCTGATGCTCTAGGGCATCACATAGAGAAATGCTGGCATTTGAAAAGGGTAATCCAGGAGCTCATTTATACAAACCAAATTGTAGTCCAAAGCCCGGACACGCCGAACATCAACCAAAACCCTTTGCCAGCCCATGCAGAGATGCATGTTATTGAAATAGTTCACAAGGATGGGGAGCCCAAGAAGTCTTCTAAGTCCGTTATGATGATTTGGGCCAGTGAAAGTAATTTGGTTAAAGCTCCAGACTCTACCAAAGCAAAGCCCTTGACAGTTGAAGGGGCGACAAAAAAGCCGAGCTCGCTCAATTTGAAGCCACCGGTGTTGGTCGTGAAAGGGCCTTCGAAAGATATTGGGGCAAGTCCGAAAAGCTCAAAAGTGGTAGTGCTAGGGATTCCAAGTAAGCCTGTCATAGTTGTGAAGGGGGCTCCTATTACCCCTATCATCATTAAACCAGAAACCCAGCTGCTAGTGGTTGATGCCAAGGCTGTTTTGTGGAATTACAAACAAGTGATAGTGACATACAAAGGAAAAGAAATAGAGGAAGAAGTTAATGAAACTGGAGGATTGACTCATTCAGGGAGATATTTCACCTCAGAAGAATTAAAGAAAGCCAAGCCATTCAAAGATAGCCAAATGCCAGTAAAGAAATCGGTCATCGAGGAAAAGGCTGAGGAGTTCCTGAAAAAGATGAAAGTGCGTGATTATTCCATTGTAGAGCAGTTAAGGAAAACACCAGCTTAGATTTCTCTTTTGTCTTTGCTGATACATTCAGATGAACATCGCAGGGTCTTGATGAAAATTTTGAATGACGCACATGTTCTTGATAAGATCACAGTGAATCACTTGGAAAAGATAGCTAGCAAGATCTTCGAAGTAAACAGGATCACTTTCTCAGATGATGAACTTCCTATGGAGGGTACAGAACACAACCGAGCCTTTTATCTCACGGTGAAGTGTGAAGATTTTGTCGTCTCAAAGGTTTTGGTTGACAATGGCTCTAGTGAGAACATTTATCCCCTGTCTACTCTGCAAAAATTGAAGATTGGCATCGAAAGAATCCACATGAACAGTGTGTGCGTTCGAGACTTTGATGGGGTAGGTAAAGATTCTGTTGGAGATATAATGCTTGAGTTGTCGATAGGGCCAGTTGAGTTCACCATGGAATTCCAAGTATTAGATGTGGTTGTCTCCTACAGTCTATTATTAGGCAGGCCCTAGATACATGTTGCTAAGGCAGTCCCGTCTTTTCTGCACCAAATGGTGAAGTTCGAATGGGACAGGCAGGAAATAGTTGTGCACGGTGATGAAGACCTGTCAGCTTGTAATGACACAATTGCTCCGTTTATCGAAGCTGAAGATGATAAGGGACCTTGGGTCTATCAAACTTTTGAAACAGTGTCTTTTGAGAATATTCCTGAAGGAAAATGCATTCCGGGTCCTAAGCTATCCTCCGCGTCTGTCATGGTTGCGAATGAAATGTTGAAGAATGGTTTTGTGCTGGGCAAGGGTCTGGGATCATCTCTATAGGGTATTGTGCGCCCCAGTGGGAATCCTGGTACATTTGGTTTGGGATTCACGTCCATAGAAAAGGACGTGAAAAGGGTTAAAAATCTGAAACAGAAGGTATGGTCACTCCCCAAGCCTGTCCCACACATCTCTAAGTCTTTTGTCAAGACAGGGGACGAAAAACCTCCAACCTCGTCGATCCCAAAACCTGCGGTCGATGTTGATGAAGAGATGATCAAGTGGTTTCAAAGTCTATTCGATGAGGTCAATATGGTAGAAGTTGGTGAAGGCTCTAGTAAAGCAGATGTGCAGCTCGTTGGTCCAAACGTGAAGCTTGGCAATTGGAAAGCTACTCCTCTCCCCACCAGGAAGGAGTTTTGGTAGTTTGCTTTGTTTTCCTTTTTGTTATCTGGGTTATTCCAGGGTTGTAATCCAGATTTTTAGTTTTTGTTTGTTTTGATGTTCAAACCCTTCTATCCTTTTATTTTCAATGAAATGCAATTTCCCATTTTTCGTTATTCCTAATAGTGTTTTTTTTGTTCTTTTTTCTTTCGTACAGTTCTTTTTATGCTGGTTGCAATGATATGACATGCATGAAGAATTTTCAGTCGAGTCTTATAAGCCAATCTAATTCTAAATTAACAATCTAGGAAGTAGAATATTATGATGAAATAGAATATGATGAAGAAGCAGCATTTGAGAAAATTAGTAAAGAGCTAAAACAATTTGAAGAAAAACCAAAGCCTAATCTAAGTGAAACTGAAGCAATCAATTTAGGGGACCAGGATAATATTAGGGAAACCAAGATAAGTGTGCATTTAGAATCGCAAGTTAAGGAGGAAATAATCAAAACGTTGTTTGAGTACAAAGATGTCTTTGCATGGTCATATGACGATATGTCAGGCCTGAGCATTGATCTAGTAGTTCATAAATTGCCAACAGATCCAACATTCCCTCCTGTCAAGTAAAAGTTGTGAAAGTTCAAGACTGATATGAGTGTGAAGATCAAAGAAGAAATCACAAAGCAGCTTACTGCAAAGGTCATTCGGGTCACTCGATATCCCACTTGGTTAGCCAATGTTGTGCTAGTACCAAAGAAGGATGGTAAGACCAGGGTCTGTGTTGATTACTGTAATCTTAACAAAGCAAGCCCAAAGAATGATTTTCCATTGCCGAACATTCACATTCTGATCGATAATTGTGCCAAGCATGAGATTGGGTCTTTTGTGGATTGTTATGCGGAGTATAACCAGATCTTGATGGATGAGGAAGATGCAGAAAAGACAGTATTCATCACGTCATAGGGAACATATTGTTATCGGGTAATGTCATTTGGTTTGAAGAATGCTGGGGCAACTTACATGAGGGCGATGACCACCATATTTCATGACATAATACATAGGGAGATCGAGGTTTATGTA